ATTCTTGTTTCTTCTCTTTTTCCTCCAACAACTGCTGTAATCGTTCTTCTTGTTTCTTTTCCTTTTCTTCCAACAACTGCTGTAATCTTTTTTTGTTATTTTGCTGTTCCAGCTGCCACTGTTGCAGGTTTTCTTGCAACTGCTGTTGTCTTTCTTCTTGTTTCTTTTCTCGTTCTTCTTGTTTCTTTTGCTGCTCTTGTATTGCTGCCATCAAATCTGCTAAGCTGTAGTTTGATTTGCCGCTTCTCGTTTCCATTTTTTTATCCCACTTCTGACTCCAATTTGTTACGTCTCCGTTCGTTGTTAATTTTCCGTTAAAACTCTTACCGAAGAAACTTTACCGATACAAGTCCTTTCTTAAATAAAACTGGTTTATTCTTTCTGAATACAACTTTGCAATACACTTAATTTCCACAGTCACGCTATAAGAAACGCTATAATTCACAACGAACGACTCACGTGCTCGACTCAGTTGTCAGTCTCTCTCTGTCTGCAGTTCATTTACATTGTTGCCGTCACTTCTTGGGGGTCTTATATACAAGAATACCGTACATCTAGTAAACATTCGAAGCTTCACGAAGAGGCATGATTTTTCTAGAAGTTCATGACGTGTTACTAGGTCACGTGACTTCCGCTGTCGTAACAGTATATTACTTTTATATATCAATTTTAAAATATCAAATTAGAAATGCTAATTCATAGATATTTTTTGTGTTGTAAAACAAATATTACAGTATATAATACTGAATTTCATTTTGATTTTCCTTCTTCTGCTTTTGTACTGTTTCAAAATTTCAAATATTTACTAAGAAAAATTTGTTTATGAAAGTATTAGTGAGAAAGAGCTTGCTTCCACAATATAAAATTATTTAATGATACATACCAGCTGAAATGATATATGTTATTTTGTATTTAATGAAAAATAAATGTCTTCTTTTTACAGTAGGTGGCATGACAACTTCGGTATGGCATGTTATGTCACTAGTAATTCCATGTGGAGGGTAGAACCGTGGTTGCTTAACGTTAAATTTTATATGCTGTAATATTTAAGAGTATTTTGAATTATTTTTTAGACAAAGTTAAGGCGGGTACAAGGTAAGAACTATACAAATATTAGTTCAAAATCTCTGTACTTTATATTTCAATAATTATAGACTAATGAATGTCTCGCTAAAAATAAAATTAATATTGAAAAATTTATAACTACTAAACTAGTTTAGATTATTAATCAGTGATCAAAGTTGTTTTCTTCAACTTCTTGTTGCGAACTACTTAATTTTTCTAATATCGGAGGACCACGTTGGGATTATACACTACATTGCTGCTATCTTTTCGTAATTATGCAACCTTTCCTCAGACCACCTGAGACTGAAATCGCCTGAACTGAAGAGAGCCCGCGTACCACAGATTGATAACCGTTGATTTATATTAATAGATGACAAAACATTGGAGAAAATGTGTTCACTCTTACTAACAGTGTTATACTTTTTATCAGCAAGAGTTTATTAGTATATGAATTATTGCTGTAAACATCACCCTGTCACTGCTAATACTACTAAAATGTTTTGTAAATGTAAGTGTAAACTTTAATGCAGAAGTCTCACCCAATGTCTGTTACATTTCAAATTCAAGCTAGCTGAACTTGAAAATGGGGGAATTGAATAATTGTTAAAAAATCTTCCTCTACATTTTTAAAGTAACAAAAATATCTAATTGATATAAGAGGTGTCATTTACCCACTAGGAAGCATTGGATCTATCAGCTCCAACATGTTATCAAAATAAAAATACCCAAAATTTATTTGCACTGTCGAAGTTTCCTGTTTGTCACAGACTTTAATATAAGAAAAAATGGGCATTTCAATGGTTGTTTACTCACTAGGGTATGTAAAACTTTGAAGCTTTAATATGTGCTAGAAAACAGAATTCTGAATAATTACTTGCTCCTCCAAACCCACTCCCAAATTCACAAATGGACAGCCAAACAACAAAGCTTGATTAAAACAGGGTTCATATTGTCATGAAAAATGATTTAATTTAAGGAAAGCAACAAGGAAGTAAGGTAACTGAAGGAAAAAGCAGAAAACATGAAGAGAGAAATGAATAAATAAAAACATAAATTCTATTGTTTTTGAGTGAAGTAATTTGTTTTAATTTTTTTATTACTTAATGTAAGAACTGTATATCAGAAAAATAGTGTTACACTATATAATGTTTGAGGAATTGAATACAGATAAGTGGATCAGACAGCTAAAAGGGTGGTTTGGAGACTGTGAAACAGTGTTTGCTTGTTACTTTTGTTGAAACATTTGAGAATTTGATCATTAAATTTAATACTAGGTCGTGGGAAATGTCATGGAATTTAGTTTGCGATATTGAACCCTTTATAAAGAAAATAAAAAAAGGTCTCCAGAGTCATTTACCACTAGGAGAAACCAAATCTATTAGCCCTAACATATTGTGGAAAATAAAAATTCTAAAAATATTACTTACACTTTGTGAATGAATAAATTTTAAGAATTAAAAGATATTTTTGAAATGACAGTTAATAATATGAAATTAGAAGAGAGTTTTATCTGGAAGAGGCTATTTATTTATAGAAACATGAGTTATTCAGAATGTTTGTAGCTATAATGTACAGAGCATAGAAGCTACAGTATTTTTTAATCTTTCAGTTTGCTTAATGTATGTCATACCATAACAATAAAAAATGAAGCATAATGATAAGTCAGTGAAAAAATTAATTTATTTCAATAAACACTAGTATGGAATAGGTCTTCCAGAATACACCTTATTTGAAAATTATTTCAGACGACAACTCCTTGTATACAATCTTTCAAAAATAGCTTTTGCTTAGTGCATACGTATAGTGTTTTATTTTAAATACATTACAGATATCTTATTATGAGCAAATTTTGAAACACATTTTTCTACTTTACTTGTATATATTTCTTCATTCTTTAGTACCCAGGGGGTGAATAACTGAATCTTTTTCTCTGTCATTTACATTAATCATATTGATAGGGGCATAATTAGTAAAATAAAGTTTGTAGAGGATGCTAAACTATTGGAGGTATATAGGTGTATTAAGAATGTTGATATAATAGACAATGACTTGGATTAATGCACAAGCTAAAAAAGCATTTTTAGTTATAGTAAGTGCAAGGTAACACATTTGGGTTATCATTAATTTGTATCAAATGTTAAATATAGATGAGAACCAACTCAATAGCTTGGCTGAAACAAAGGATCTTGGTGTAGTGGTGGAAAAATAACTCAAGCCATCAAAGCGATGTTCTTTAGCAAATAGTAAAACTAATAGAATTTCATTGCGTATTTATAGACATATTGATTACAGGTAAAAACTTAAAAGGTAGTTATCTCTAATACAAAACACTAGTCATACCTCACTTGAAATACTCTGTAGAGTTGTGTTTACTTATCTAAGAAAAGATACTGAATTACTGGAAAGTGTTAAAATTAAGGCTACTAGGATGATTTCAAGGTTGAAAGGGTTATCTTGCAGTGATAGGTTAAGATCTTTTAACTTATTTTATCTTGAAAGAAGAAAGATAAGAGGTAATCTTGTTGAAGTTCACAGAATTTGGCAGGGGATTGATATGGTAAAAGCTTCAGATTTTTTTGTGTTGTATTTTGAACATAATTATAATAATAGGTTGAGAGGATACAAGTTTAAGATTTGAACAAGACAAGCTAAGCTCCAGTTAAAATAGTTGTTTGTAACAGGGTAGTTGCTTTATGGAATAAGTTTCCATCAGTAGTAGTAGTGGGTTCCAAAACTTTATCATAGCTTAAAAAGGAATCTATGGTTTCCTGAAAAGTAAAGGTTGGGTTAAATTTTTTACTTTTCACAAGGATGGGTGTAAAAACACAGCCATGAAGGACCAAATGGTTCTTTGTTGTCCATAGACTATTATATAATATTTTTGTCATTCTTGACTGTTTATTATGCACAGTTAATAAACAAATGCAGGTATTCAAATTTGATGACGAGGAACCCACTTTGAGACTAATAATGGCTGGAGACGGCTTGAATGGGTAATGAAGAAAAACTTTAATATAACAGCAAATGTACAAGGTTTCGACAAGGTTTTGTCATCATCAGTACCTGATGCAGGTATACCAAGGTAAAATATGAAAATAAAGAAATAGTTTAGAAACTGCATGGGAAAAATAATCTACTCAATATTCAGCCCCAAATGATCTTCATCCAACTTGATTCATTGATCAAATTTGGTCTCTCCTACAGCATTATAACATTTTTCCTACTATGCACAAATTTCAAGAAATATTTGCTCTGTATTTAAAGAAATTTTAACACTATTGTCATCAGATTATTTACTCTTAATTTTTTGTTATTAGGTCATCTTGAATATTAACTATGGATGATGAGGAAGATGAAGTAATAACTTTGGTAGTCACAGAGTAATTTTACAAGTAAAGAAGTAACTAACGAAATTTCCAAGGAAGGTAGTAAATAAGTTAG